CTTGAAACCACGAACTTCATCATTTTATTGGAGCTTCAAATTAAGTCCTGAACTATAAAATTTAATAAAAACGAGGCAAGCCCAGTCGAGTTGATAACTTGATTTCGTAACTACATAACTAAAATAATAAAACTGCGCCCCCCCTTCCACAAGAAAAGTTGGTCGTTTATGTAATATTATGGAAGATAATGCAATTCACTCTATATATATTCAGAAGAACGCGCGCATCTCGAGTGGAGGAGGAAGAAATGCGCGTGGGTGTGGCCCTATTGAGAAAGAGTTCACATGCTCCATCGCATTTTACTACGAAAGTTGGGTTCGTTTGGGGGCGGCGAAGACCGACCCTTTCGTGTTTAGTTCTCTTCAGACCATCGTAGGAGCAGTTTCGTTTCCGGTTCCCTCTCCACCGCACTTTGCAGATTTGTCTGCGTCATGGGGATATGATATATATATATATATACTTTTTTCATTTTTGTAAAGCTTGAAAAGAAACGCAAAAAAACGGGCACCTTGGAAACTCTTGGTTTCATTGTAAACGCTCCGCAGAAGATATATGGGACAAGGCGGGGGTGTTCCAACAGCGAGATCTTGTTTTTCCACTTGGGTACCCCGCCTGCACCGGTCGACCGCCCCATAACCCTCCTCTGCCCCTCCCCCTCCTTCTTCTTCGACGGGTTCCACGTTCGCGCGCTTTTCTCCGTTTTATTGTCTGCCCCGAAAGAGACGCAAAAATAATGAAAAAAAGAAAAAAAATGAAACGAGTCGCACAAAAGGAACAGAAGAGAGGGCAGACACGGATGACCTGGCAGCAGTGCGCTGCGAGCTTAGCACGCCTCGAGCCTCTGCGTTTGCTGGAAACATTGTTGTAAAATTAAAGCATACATTTTGAAACACCACTACCAACCAATATAATGTTATCATACAACCGCTAACCGATGATGCTTCAAATACATCTATTTCAACTTTACAAAAAAAATAACAACCCATTTCTCAACTTGACTACACTAGCCGATACATTAAATATCACGAATCATTAGTTTCAACTTTCCTATTTACACAAAAAACGAATATATCCATCCATTGGTTCGATTTCAATGTGAATGAAAAATAGAAGTTTGGCGCATTATCGCAAACTTCGTCAACTGTCCAATTTGGAAAGGGTGCAAAGTACGTAATCTATATTTCAGAATTGCAATAGGAACGATGGCGAGGGGTGGAGACCCCTCTCAACTCCAATTCGGGATCAATCGATACTTAGGCTTGCAAACTTATCAACAATTCAAATGCGTTCTAAATATACATTGATTTGCTCTCTCAACTCTCCTCGCGTCGCTCTCGCATTATATCCATGAGGATATCCTGAACTTTTTTTGCTGCTGCCTTATGGCACAACCATGCGTCACAGACGTAAAGAAAGAGAGAGAGAGAAGACCCCGTTGTACGACGTGATAAACAAAAGCGAAGCGCACATAAATCGGATAGCAAATGATGATGATCAGAAATGGTTTTCCATTTAAGTCACAAGCAACACAACCTACACTGCAGAACTAAATCGACCCGCAGCATTTAAAACCCCACCCGATCTGACCTTGACTCGCTCCGCCGTCCGGGATACAAAAATACACGAAACTTTACTCTGATTATTTGCCTAACAAAACTAAATACTAACAAATAGTCATATCTTCATAAAAAAATCAATTGAATCTGAACTCATTATATAATTTTATTCAATTAAACGATATATTGCAAACCAAATAAAATATTTGTTAAATAATAATTATGGCGTTATATGTAATCTTTATGCCGTCTATAGGTTATATTAATATTAAGAAGATATGACTATGAACTGCGACAGGTAAAGCTTAAAATGTAATATATGGTAGTTATAGCTTCTATTAATATTCAAGACTATTAAGCAAGTAACGCCTAAAATATATGTTCCATGTTCTAAATCCAAAATATATGAAAATGCATACACTATTCATATGATATGATTCATTGTAGTCATAAAAATTGTTTCAGTCTTAATCACGCTTCTATAAGGACGAACTTCGCTACGGCGTGAAATATGCCGAAGAAAAATTCTGTAATTAAGAAACATAAGTTTAATATAAATCTCGACGGAGCGTATTTTGCATTCAGAGCGACCTGACCCAAACACATTCTGCACGCGAACCATTCTGACCTAAACTTAAAATTTATTGCTCATAACTCACGCCGGCAGTTTTTTTCTTCTCTTCTCTCATTGCTTTCCTTAATATTAAATCTATTTTTAGATTAGAGAATAAATAAACGTATAAACGTACTTATTAAAGAAAAAAGTGAGTCATGCAAAGCGTCACATTTTTAACTTAATAATTGTAGAGTGTATATTTATTCATTTACTTCAAATACTTTGTATTGTTATCCTTATATAATATGAATTATTATTATTATTAGAATGTATATAAACAATGTTTTCTGTAATTCCAAAGCTCGAACAAAGTTCCAAAGTTATGTTTTGATTTGGAATCAATGAAATTACGAATTCCTGCAATGTCATGAAATCAGCGTATCTATTTTACACGCGTAGCGCGTAGAAAAAGTGCCGTGTGAATATACGAGATGGGGCCCAACCCTACACAAATATTTTTCCTCGCACTGAGAGGAAAAACGTCTTTACGTTATCTGCCTTTTTCGTTTTGATGAAAATTAAAAATTGAATACAGAATGCGACATTTCACTTTTCATCGGAAATGGAAATTTGCAAAGCCAGCTAGTTAATTTGATATTTTCCTACTCCCACAGCTACAATTTTACCGGTTGGACGGAACGAAAAGAAGAAAAAAAAAAGGAGGAGAGGAAGAAGCAGATGGAGAGAAATCTACTAGAACACGAATCATCGGCGCATCGATCTTTTTCAAAGAAATTAGATTTCATCCATCTCCTCTTCCACTGACAGCTATCACATGGCCGCCTTTAATATGTTTATCCACAGACAAAAGTAACCATTAGTTCATTCGGTTTAAAGTATGCAGTTGGTCCTAAACTAACTGAGAACTAATATAGATTTGTTACTCTGTACAGGAAATTCAATACACATTTAAGCCTCTTGATCGGTATGGTCAGGTTTGTGGGGAAACCTAAGAAATGCAAGTTTAAAATTGCTCGACTTTGATTTCAGTAAGCATTTCATGTTAAACGCTTACGTTCCACATCTAAATAAATCATAAAATAATTTCTGATTAATAATATCAAAAGATGATCTTCAAGTAACGATGTTCTTTTACTCAATTATTCCCAACAAATAATTGAATGATATTCAGTATCGATTGAAAGTATTTAAAGTTTTTTCATATCATAATTTTTAAAGCAAATATTTTCATGTTATAAATTAGGCTCTCCGACCAACTATATATACATTCACAGATACATTTTTTTTAAACTTTGATCTTTTGATCTATAAATACCATAGGATTTCACAAATAAGGATGTTGTGAGAATATTTGATCAGAAACTATACCAATACCAACCGGTAGGTAAAATTTGAAATTAATAATAAAAAAACATTTGAAATTATGGATTTACAAATAATTCTCAATTCAATTCTTAAAAAAGTCTGAAAACATGTAAAATTATATTTTCAAATAGAAAGATATTTTGTATATTTTATATTTCAGTTAGTTTATATTATAAATCAGAGATGGCCAAAGCGTCGATAGTATTATTTATGTCTATTTTAAATTTAAACTTATTTTTGGCTTTAAATTATTACTTTTCTTATGATCACCTATATACGATGCCTATAATTTAACGAAAAAACAGGTCAATATGATCTTAATGTGAAATTTTAAATACAAACTATTTTGTGCTGGTTTTGGATAACTATTAAGTCAATATGCAATAACGTTCAAACACTAAGAAATTTTCAAATCAAATAGCTTCCAATGATTTTACAACGTTAATATTAAACTATACGCAGAAAACGAAACTTAAAAAAAATCTTCCGCGAATGATTCAAACGATAAATACGCTTGCTCC